TAGAGCACATTTTGTAAACAAGCAGTAGTGCTGTACAACAACAAATAAATAAATACACACAAAATAAATAAATACACACAAAATAAATGAATGCACTCATAAAAATCCAATTAAAAAAAACATCTGTTAAAAGCCAGAGAATAAAAGAGGGTCTTAAGACGAGACTTATTGCCCATCCCTAAATGATGCATGTTTATGTTGAAGTAATATTGATATTGTTGAATTTGACATTTTGGGCTGATTTGAAGTTTGAACCCAACCAATTATTCTGTCTTTCAATGTATTTAACAGTTTGTAGAATTTTACAGTACATGTTGTGCATCATACAGTAGTAACAAAACAAAACAAAAGTGTATCTAAATTCAGTGTATAAAGTTATATATTGCATGTTGATGTTGTTATCATCACAATCTAACAACCTTGCAAGCACCACGCATCTGCTTCCCAACTTAAACCCAAAAATGGTCACTTCTGGCGCGGCAGACTCAACAATTACCTCCGCACATTATCTGGACTTTGCACATATCACAGCAGTAACGTCATTTTTCATCGCTGCTTCGCTTCACTTTATTTGAACCCCGTGTCTTATGGCTTTTTTTCTCCCTTCACATCAACACCCATTCCAAGCAGTGACCTTTTCTCCGTGAGGCTGCTTCAGACTGATGCGGGATGGGTCATCGCCAAGTTAAATAAACACTTTAGCTGGAACTTGGCTGCTCTGAATCAAATCATTTTGGAAATAAAAGGGAGTTTTACGTTTCTCTTTGACAGTCTAGACATTTTACGAGATCGGAAAGAAATGCAGAAGAAGGTAATTTTGTGCAAATGTACTCCCTTCCTTTGTACTGATAGAGTTAATATTTACAGACTGTTCCCTTGTTATGCGTGCGTAAATTTTCACTTTTTTGGCGAGAAGGATCTGTTTAGAGGATTGATAAGATATGGATTAGAATGTATGCATACGGTAAGATGTGCACGTCGCTGTTTCTGTTCTAGCCTCACAGGTCCCATATTGAATTAAATTCTTACTATTATTATTATTGTTTCAAGCAAGATCACAGTTTACTTTCCATAATGTCAATGTTATTTTCTTCCTTTATTTATTTGAAATTGAAACAAAGTATAGACAGAAAAATACAAACAGTGTTTGCAATCAGTGTATAAACAAATAAATGTACCTGAAAACAAAAGTGTATACTAGTTGGTTTATAGGCATGAGTACAATACCATGAAAGACTATTTGTACTGGGAATGTACCGTATTTTTTGGACCAATTAGTCAAATGGCCAAATGAACCTCAAAATGGCCCTTACAAAACAGATTTTAAGCTAAGCTATCAGTGATGCAGTTGAGCATGGTTAGCTGTGATTGTTTTGTATTTCATCATTCTTCCATTTTCCTCTCAAAGTTGTAGAAGTTTTACCGGTAAAAAGATTGAGTAATTTTTTACCTGATGATCTGGTGATCTGTACTGCATCGTGCCTTTGTTGTTTAAAATTGTTGTATATACTATTACCATTCACCATTGCTAAGGTGGGAAAGGAAAAACTTTATTTAAGTCTCACCTTAATGACAGTAGCAGTTGTCGGTGGATTTCTTTTCCTTATACTCAGCCCATAAATATTATTACTACAGTATGAGTGTACAGTTGCCTGATAAAATGTGTCTCAATGGAACATGGCGGCAGAAGTTTTTTGGGGTTTTTGCTGCTCCTGGTGGCGTATTTATGAGGCGGTTAGTAGTCCGTGGTATGGGGGGGGGAGTGGAGGTGTAGGGTTGGGGGGTGGACCGGGGGGGGGGGGGATTTGTGCCTGTTACAGTAACGAAAGCAGACAGCAGCGCGGGACGTCAGGCTGAGGCAGGTCTGACGAGGTGAAGAGGTGAGAGCAGTGTGAAGACATTTGAGAGTCATGTCTCTGTCGTTACCAACGCAGAGGATTTGTGACGTGATAACAACAGCGGCGCGCTCTCCAGGAATGTGAGGCTTTTTTACGTTTCCCGTGTGGTCTGGAAGCATGTATCGAGTTAGCATGTCTGTCATGTCAGAGATTTTCATTTCTCTGTACAGTGCAAACAAGTCCGAGTCTGAGCAGTTGTGTTTCTTATGATATATTTGTTTGACAAGTCATGTGCTTATAGGGGAGTTCCTATGGTTCCTAAATCACAAACTAGTTCTGAACTTTATATCCCGCTGGAGATCTAATGATAAAGGATTCTTAAAGATTTTGAAGTGAGTGATGTCATATTGAAAACTTGATGATAAATAATAAGTTCATGTCTCGTTTGTGCACAAAACAAAAACATTAGAGCTGGAACGACTCACCGATTCATCACAATAATTTTAAGACTCAAGCAGACAGTAATTGCATGAACCAGCTTTAGTATTGATTTTCTCTCTTTTGTAAATAATTGGATTCTATAGACATTTCAATGTTTTTGTTGTGACACATATGAAATATAAATATAAATGCACCAATAATATAATTTGGTTCAGATGGGCTGAGCATTAAGTTACGCGTCGAATCGAACCATTTGGAAATACTGTATATCTTAATGAATGCAAAATGCCCTCTATCTGAGTCCTGTCTCACGTTGGATTGATGAGGGAAATCGAACTTCTTGAAATTTGATCTTGCAGATGTTTTTCTCAAAAATGATACCAAATGTAAACTGTTGGTATCCATGTGTTGTGGTCTATGTATCTACAGTATGTATGGTGCCTATCGTATTGGCAAACTAACCGATACCCAGCCCCAATTTCAATATAATGGGATGTCCGCAAGTGGCTTCACTCAAGCTTTATATTAATCAAATGTAGATAACAGATAAACATAATCAATAGAATAATCAACTCATGAAAAATAGCAAAACAATTCTATTTTACATACAGTGTATTTGTAGTTTCTTCAAATATAACTTCCCACCTCTCTCTGCTCTGGCCCAGCTCTCTCTGCTCTGGCCCACCTCTCTCTGCTCTGGCCCACCTCTCTGCTCTGGCCCACCTCTCTCTGCTCTGGCCCACCTCTCTGCTCTGGCCCACCTCTCTCTGCTCTGGCCCACCTCTCTCTGCTCTGGCCCACCTCTCTCTGCTCTGGCCCACCTCTCCCTGCTCTGGCCCACCTCTCTCTGCTCTGGCCCACCTCTCTCTGCTATGACCCATTCTCTCTGCTCTGGCCCACCTCTCTCTGCTCTGGTCCACCTCTCTGCTATGGCCCAAGTCTCTCTGCTCTGCCCCACCTCTCTCTGCTATGACCCATTCTCTCTGCTCTGGCCCAGCTCTCTCTGCTATGGCCCTTTCTCACCCGCACTCTCTGCATGTTAAGTGTGCATTTCCACTCCACTAAACGCTCCTCCGCGCTGAGCCAGACCTGAGTGGGACAGCAGGTCTGTTTCTCAGCCCCCCACTCTCTCATCGCCTACAGAGAGCCGGGCTGCAGGCTGCGGTTAATGCACCAAAAACACACCATTGTCCCTCAATTAATACACACCAGGGCTGCGCGATCAATCACAATCAAATCAGAATCACAATTTCACTGGTCGCAATTAGAAATGTTTGTTATAGTATGGAAATATTTTCGTACTTTCATTTTTTATTTCTTTTTACGCTTTTTTACTACTTGACTTTAGTTGATTTATAAAAGATGTATGTGTATCTGTTGTACCCACATCCCAATATAGGTTAAAATAATAAAAATAGGATTTAAAGTGGCTGTAAAAAGTGGAAACTTCTAGAAGACATGTCAGCATTCAGACATATCTAAAAGGAGTGGTTCACGTTGTAAGAAAATAATCTAGAGAAATTCAAACACAAATGTTACATGAGGGGTCAAATAATCTAACATAAAATTATAATTAACCTAATCCATCCAAGCAACACTAGAATGTTTTTTATTGACTCAAGTTTAACAAGTCTAAATCATCTTGTTTCAGGGTAAAATCGTGCTCTAATAAGTTAATTACGTTTGAGTAATTTGAACTCATCAGGGTCAATTTTAAAATCAAAATGAAATCTAGTCACATTTGCCATGTTTTTCAGAAAATACTGTATTTCGCAAAAACCGTGCATCCTTTAGTCCCTGCTTCTTGCTTCTCAGCCTGACTAATGTCCCAGTGTGCTGCGACTCCACTGCTCCATTGACAACAGTTCATGATGAGGAAAAATATATGATGCCATTTTCACTTTGAGAAAACCTTTAGAATGTTTTGGCGTCAGAAAATGGATGAAGCGTGTTGTTCTGCAAAGAATGACAAGGGAGACCTCTAGTGGAAAAGGGTAGAGCAAAATTCAGCATTCAGTTTCTTTTAGATATGTGGTACGTTTATGAGGGGTGTTGTTTAAATGAAATGTGCGTCTTATCAATGAAGCTGGAGTTCAGAGTTTGCTGGTTGATTTGCTACTTTTGTAAGACTGTTTTTATTAAAAGGGATAAAGCGGAAAAAGACTTCAGCCTAAACCTTCTCGATCTGTTATTTTTCATTTTTGGATTCTTTTGTTGTCCTGGACTTGTGAGCTTGTGTTTGCTCTTGTTCATTATTCTTAGAAAAAAAGATATGTATAATACTATAATAATTGTCAATCTTGAATGTGAAACTACTCTTTCTATTTTTTGTTGATGACGAATGACAGGAAAAGAATAATGCTAAACTAAACCAGCATCACTGAGAGTAATGAGAGTAAAATTGCTATCATACTTGAAATGAGAAGAAAGTTGCTTGTCAAAATGTTCTTGAAACTTGGAAACCATTAATTATGTTAATCGTTTTTGCAGTTAGTGAAGATATTGAGCAGAAGGTGAACAAATCTATGAAGTCCGTTATGTCCCTTTGTGTTCGAGGCTTAGAAAGTTCTTATATTAAGACATTAGACATTTCTTAGCCAGAAAGTTAACAAGTTATAGCCGATTACAACCTGCCCCACACACACACACACACACTCCCTATAGCTCCAGTGTGTAATAGTGGTCATCTGTTCCTCACCCCTTTCCCTCTCTCCCCCACAGTGCTCAGTATCCGCGGGGCACAGGAGGAGGAGCCCCCAGACCCTCAGCTGATGCGTCTGGACAACATGCTTCTGGCGGAGGGCGTGTCGGGGCCGGAGAAGGGCGGCGGGTCAGCGGCTGCGGCGGCGGCTGCAGCGGCCTCTGGAGGGGGTCCCGGCTCAGACAACTCAGCGGAGCACTCGGACTACAGGGCCAAACTGTCCCAGATCAGACAGATCTACCACACAGAGCTGGAGAAGTACGAGCAGGTGAGCAGCAAACAAGTATGTCGCTAACTCATAACAATCAATGACTACATGATTTGAATCAAACTTTACTGCATTGAATGTGTCGTTGGTTTGAACACATTTCTCACTGTAGTTACAAGATTCTTTAGCTTAGCAGTCAGGACGAGGCATGGGGGGGAAGCGTTTCAGGTGTATGCCCCAAAAATGTGTATGATTTTATGTTTTTGTAAAGCACTTAGAGTTGCACTGCATGAATATAAATACGCTATATGCCAACAAAAACAGTAGAGGGGTTCTCAAACTTCCGTCTCACTATCTCCTTTTGAACAGACTTTGAGTAAGTTTACAAAGCATTAGACTAGAGTGTACGTGGGTCTTGTCGATGATAGAGCAGAGCGAACCCTGTGCTCTTAAATGTATCTGCTGGCCATGTCTTAATAGGAGCCTGTCTCCATGGTTACATGTCACTTAAACCGGAGTGAAAACGGTTCAATCCAGTTATGCCAAATGGACTGGATTTTAGAAATACATTTGGAGTTGGCGATGACTCCGGTTTTCACTCATGCTTTGTAGACGTAATTTAACTTGTGCTTGTATATCGCAAGTAATTGTATCCATGGACCATTGTTTGAGAACCACTGGTGCACTACACAGGTCAAATAGTCAATCAACTTTATATGTAACATTGTATATATAGCTGTACTAATATGTTTAAAGTTACCATCCATGTCATAAATTATTTCTGTTTTTGTATTTCTAATGTGTTCTGCCGTCCTTGTTTCTCCGGTTCCAGGCGTGTAACGAGTTCACCACCCACGTCATGAACCTGTTGAGGGAGCAGTCTCGCACTCGTCCCATTTCGCCCAAAGAAATCGAGCGCATGGTCGGCATCATCCACCGGAAGTTCAGCTCCATCCAGATGCAGCTGAAGCAGAGCACGTGTGAGGCCGTCATGATCCTGCGCTCACGCTTCCTCGACGCCAGGTGCAGTACGCGCTCGCTTCAATTTAACACTGGGCCTCTCATCATTCTGAAACTACTAGAACTCTAACTTTAAAATCAATGGAATTTTGAAAAAATCCCCAAAAAGCTTAGCCTGGCCTTAGCCATCCGTACACTCCGCTCAATCATCATTTCACTGCATGTAACGTCTGGGTTTGGTCCCTGTGTTTGCGATTACAATCGGTTGAATTCCATCCGACCAATCAGCGAGCGCGGGAAGTTAGATGTGGGTGACGTCAAGAGTTTGCGTTGAACGGGCAGGTTGTAGTTTGGCAATGGCAAAGAATGCGATAGTAAAGTAATCTGGTCTGGTTCTATCAAGAAATTGAAGCCGGAGCAATAGGTATGTTTAGCAAATGTAATCGGTGGCAAAGATTGTGGCGCTACTCCCGACGGGCTTCGTTACAAGGAGATGGCTAGGCTAAATGCTAACTACTCACTCGGGCGCATTACCTACATCACGGTAAACTCAGATCTAATCGTTTCAATCAGCGAAAGTAATTGCACTTCCAAAATAAAATGGAGTTCTAGTGTTAATCAGACATAGCAAGAGACATTTATAAACCCGATTGAGGTGTGAAAAAATTGTCTATTTGGAACAACTAGTTTGTATTTGGGCACACAAACTACACTTGCATATTGTGTAAGGATATGTTTCATTGTTTTGGTTTGGTTTGTTTTGGTTTGGTTTCACTTACGCGCGCCTTATTGGCAAAGTGGGTTAAGTGTCTTGCCTAAGGACACGACGACAGCAGACATCAGTGGAGTTGGTGGAGAAGGTCCCCAGGTGTTCTCGAACCCACGACCTTCGGGCTCAAAGGCCAATGCTCTACCAACTGAGCCACTGTTGCCCCCAAGATCTAGATATTTTTCTGCTGATGATTTCAGGTGAAATGAAATAAAAAATGAAAAGTATAGAGCGCATTAGAAGGTTCTGGCCTACTCCTGTGAACAAGTGAAGAAAATTGTAGTAAATCCTGAACTCTCAGTGTACTAAGTATATGTGTTGTTTAATATCTACTGTATATTCTAAAAAAAAAAAAAAACAGTAATGAACACTGAGCGCTTATGTACTGTACTTTAAACACTTTCAACTCACCAAAAGAGGTTTGAATTTTTTTTTATCAAGTATTTAATCCAGGCACTAAACCAGGCATTGAACCAGGTGTTTTTTTTAGGAGACTTAACTAGGATTCTATTAAATCTCTGTAGATATGATTAACTGTATCTTCACCCCCATTTATTTTCAGTCAAACAAGGTCGAGAGGTTGTTAAAACTACAAATACAGCTGGACTCTGCTTATTTTGACTTGCGAGAGCTCTTTGTGTCTCCTCTTCTTTAATATAATCGGTTGTTCTTTTTGATGCTGGCCGCGGATTTGCATACATTTCTCCCAAGGATAAATCTCACTCGGAGTCGAAGGCACAACATTTAAATGAGCCATGCGCTGCCGTACAAAGCCCCCCGATCTATTCTGCTTGTAATGAGGGGTGGTGGGAGAGCGAGGCGGAGTTGGCTTGTGGAGCAGATGAATGCACTTGCTTCCTCTGCCGTTTCTGACCCCATGCTGGGCACATTTTCATATCGGCACGCACAGGGTTCTGTACAAATCTGCTTGGGGGCTCAAACCAGGGAGAGCCTCTCAACCCCCTCTGGGAGACGAGCCACCTGTCAACATCACCTGAGTGGAAAACATCCCCATATTGCATATAGGAGACTCATGGCTCATTTGCATAAAGTGTATTTAGGGGTAGGATAAGATCTGGTGCCACAGAATTTCCCAAGATGAAATTGCTAAGAGTTATATGGTGTGTTTACGGTACATTCAGCTTGGGTAGACTGGGTAAGGCATGGACATCTGTTGCGAATGTCCCACTGAGGTCCTGGGAGAAGGTCTTGGGTTCGATTCCACTTGCAGGCCTTTCTGCATGTTCTCTCCATGTCTGTGTAGGGTTTCCTCCGTGTGCCCTGGTTTCCCCTACCACTATAAACATATACAATAGGTCTGGCATGCCTCCCGTCTCCAAGAGGAGTCAGAGGAAGAACACCCACAGCAATTGTAAATCGCTTTGTGACTGTGTCTGTGAAAGGCACTATGTAAATAATTATGACTTATCGGTACTTACTTAATTATCCAGAAAACGCTGGAATGAACATGTCTCTCGCCCTGTGATTCCTCAAAATGAGCTGAAGAGAAAAGTCTGGGATGTACTCAAATACATAATATATTAGATTTAATTGATAAAGTGAATCAAGAGTTAAGTATATTCTTGTACTAAAATGGAAGTCCTGTATCAATGGACATAATGTGATTCTGCCAAGACAACAACTGCCTAACTGATAGGAATTTCACATGTTCTACATATTGACATGCATCATATATATGTGTTTTAGCAGTTTACAACTATGTCGTCTTGTTTTTTATTGTACAAGATTATGCTTGACCAGGGGTATCAAACTGGATTCAGAGAGGGCTGGTGTGTCTGCAGGTTTTAGTTCCAACCAAGCACAGCAGACTCCACCCATTTGCTCAAGTGAGTCCAGTCTTAAACTGAAGCCTTGAGGAAATGGATGGACTCAAGTATATTCAATAAATAAACAAATAGACCAAAACCACAATCAATCTATTCATCCATCCATCTATCAGCTTAGAACTCTTCTGCGATGGAAACTAAACTAACTCACTGTTTTTCTTCTGTTTTTATTTCCAGACGAAAAAGGCGGAATTTCAATAAGCAGGCGACAGAGATCCTGAATGAATATTTCTACTCCCATCTCAGTAACCCGTATCCCAGTGAGGAGGCCAAGGAGGAGCTGGCCAAGAAGTGCGCCATCACAGTCGCCCAGGTACTCCTCCGTCCGTCTGCACTTTTACAGCACAAAACATGACACAACCAACATCAAACTTGTTTCAAATCTAACAAAAATCAACAAAGCGGATTTCAACAAGATTAGAATAAGAACACAGGACATTGGGAAAATTATGAACTGTTTGCTAAATGTATTTTAAGTGTGTTTTATGAATGTTTGTTGATTGTGCCATTTTGAAAGACAAATCTGCTCAATTTGAACAGACAATAAAGATCTATTCTATTCTATAAAGTAGAGCTTAACATGGATGTAAAACACAACAAAAAAGGACCAATATTACTTTACTTTCTTAATAATGTTCATTACAGATGTATATCATTTATAAATATGTATTTTTAATAAGTGTGTGGATTTTACAGTGAAAATAAACAGGCTAGCACTTACTTCCTCATTCTTGTCTGTCAAAAATCTGAACTCATATACTGAGTCTTCATAAAAGCTTGTTCTAAATGACAAAAATACAAGGAATTTAATTTAATTACAATACAGTGAAATAAAACCACTAACAGGCTAACACCTACTTCCTCATTCTCGTCTGTTAAAAATCTGTTTGTTAAAAAACTCAATCTGAATCACGGTTTGGTAATATTTTTTATTTATACCGAGTCTTCATTCAAAAATACAAGGAATTACATTGAAAAACACTAATCCAGGTCAAACTCAGAATTAAACTCTCAAAAATACAATTACATTTTTCTACATTTAGGACATATTCTGGACAAAGCAAAAACAGGAATCAGGCTTAATTCCGAGCGCGCAATCTGCAGTGTTAGGCGCGTACTGCTGCTGGTATGAATATGTTATGACTACAGACAGCACTCTAATCTTCAGCTGTAGCTTTTATTAAACAACAAAGCAGCCGAGTGCAGAGAGAATGTAGCTCTTCAAACCAGACACAAACACAGGCTGTTTCCATTGAACATCCACCGCCACCGCTGTCACTATGTGCATGTTTAAACACTCGTCAGATGAATGCATAAGACGGAACGTTTCAGTCCCATCTAATATTAAAAGAATTGCACGGAATACATTACAATACAAAAACAAGAACGCAACACTAACCTCTTCATGGATTTAGACTTAGACTGTCACAGTAGCTTGCATAGTATTCCACAAAAAAAATAACGTAGCAATATGAAAATAAGGATAATGATAAGATAATATTGTGAGAATAGAATAATCTGGATATAGGTACTTGATTAAAAGATGCTTGATTCGTTCCACAATGGTGAGATTTCAGTGTTGCATGCATCACCGGAGCACACAACGCAAGATAAATGAACAATAACTCTATACTAAATGAAAAAAAATATCTAGCTTTAGCACAATAAAGAAGCCAGTGCAAAATTAACAGCACTTTCAGCAACATCACATTGTTAATTTTTATTTTCGAGGTTGCAGGGAAAGTTGTACCCCTTTACAAACATGTGCGACGATACCCGGAGTGTAGCTGGATATACTTTGAAGCACTGGTTGTTTGTGAACAGTTTTATAAAGGATCTCTTTTCATATCTTGTGCTCCGACCTGAAAATGAACCTGGTAGCGCCCAAGTTTATTCACCTTCCAAGTGCCTGCACGCGTGATACTTCCATGCGTTTTCCCACATGCTTTTTTCCACTTGTAGGCTCAACAGTTTATATGAGCACAAGGTGAACATATATAACATTTACAATAATAAATGCGCTTGATTCTTCGTCTGTATTGAGTTGAAAGAGTTTTGTGCACTAAAGTGAGAATTTATGGAAAACCCATTGGAGAATTTGTGTGGGCTGTTTGTAAATGTTTTTTTCCCCACAGATGTTTTGTACAATTCAAATCAGTTCAATTATTTATTTTATAGCCCTAAATCATAACAACAGTCGTCTGGAAGGACACTTATGCCCAAAAATGTGGCATAATTGTTCTTAAATCCTAAGACCCTCCTCAATCAGCATGGAACAACTCAAAAAATAAAAAAGTGAGAAACCTCGGAGAAGCCCATATTGAGAGTGGGATCTGCTCTCACAGACTGACAGGCAGTAGATCCAGGACTCAGGCTGTAGAACGAGGACTGAGGAGGCTCCCATGCGGGGAGGGGGCAACAACAACAAAATCTATTCTTTCTATTTGGTCTCTAATGTGCCTGCTAGTATGTTGTCATCGATTTAACCAAGATGGAAATGCAAACTGAGCTTATTAAACAAATAACTGTTAAAAAAAAACTACAGGGTATCTCATGTGCATTAGTTTAGATAGTGATAAATCTGGTGAGGGGATAATTTAAACCAATATTTTAATTTATTGAATGTTTTATGTAAAATGTCTTTTGTCTTGCTCCTCCATTTTCCTCAACTGACTTTGCAATTCAATATGATGTATCCCGGTACAGCTGATAGAACTGCATTCAAGTAGTTTTTATTTCCTGAGAGTTGATAACGACCGCGAAGGTAAACAGGGGCGCGTGTTTTGAATCCATCAGTTGCGAATAGATCGTTTCCTTCGCTTCTTTCATTAATTTATCCTCAACAATCCCTGATGCATGTGCTCTTGATTGTGAGCGCTAGTCGGCTTGCGGATGATTTGTCGCGTTTCTGTTTCGCGGCCGTAATAAAGGAGACTGTTTACCTTGGCAGCGATGGGGAAAGTTCGCTGGATTGATTCGGTTTTCATTTTAATGTTGTTTATCATTAGTGGCGGGATTACCCCTCGAAGCTTCATCTGCGAGTGCATTAGTGCTAATGGAGAGCTAGCCGATGTTGAGTGATCGGAGCTGGTGTGATGATAGCTACCGTCATGGAGTCATAATGAGACTGTTATTGGCAATCATTGGGTTCTGGAGCTAATGCGGATTCACAGCATCAGTCTGTGCTGCTGCTGCTGCTGCTGCTGCTGCTAAGTGAGACATCTCTTCAGTGGTGCTCTGGCTTTGCGGTGTGTTATGGGAAAAGCAAGGCAAAAACAAGTGAATACTCTCGTGGGATTGGTGATAAGAAAAAAAAAAACACTGTTAGATTTGGCCACACGTAGCAATGAAAGCGAACGAGGATGTTCCGATAATCTTGATTATTCAATTTAGAATAGATGTAGATTAAGAGATCCTTTTCATGTCCCACAGTGGGGAGATTTCAGTGTTGCATCACAAGTTACAGACAGTAACAGATGAGGAGCACACAGCACAAGATAAATTAATAAAAAGTATACTAAAATAAATTACATAAAATCTCTATTTTTAGTATTATAAGTAAGTAAGTAATGTTTATTTATATACCGCCTTTCACAGACCAGAGTCACAAAGCGGTTTACAATTGTTATTTTTTGGGCATTTGTCCTCTCACGCACACAGAGATGGGAGCGAGGTTGCCAGTACAGGAGGCGAATGCCAGACCTATTGTACATGTTTTTAGTGGTAGGGGAAACAGGAGTACCCGGAGGAAACCTACGCAGACACGGGGGGAACAGGGAAACTCCACTCAGAAAGACCCTGTTCCAACCCTGATTCGAACCCAATATCTTCTTGCGAGAGAGGCGAGAGTGCTATCCACTCAGCCACCGTGCTGTGCTGCCCAGTCTAAAAGTCTAAAATCTCCAATGATCTTGCATGATGATGAAGCAAGAATTAAGTACAAAAACCCACGACCTTAGCATAATTAGGACTCAGTAAAGTGACAGTAACACATATGGTTATATATTGCACATTGTTAATGTTATTATCATTCTTGTTATTGTTTTTAAATCTGACATTGTTCATGTTATCATTGCACAGCTGAGTAAAGTAAAGTGACAGTGACGCATGTGGTTTCATATTGCACATTCTGACATTAGTTCAAGTTATTGCACAGGCACACTATCTGTTAGTCCTCATTGTTTTTTGTACAGTCAGAATAATCTTTCAGTGTAAGAAACATAATTAGAATCCTTACTCTATATGTTGTCTGCCTTGATAATAAATACTTTTGAACATTATAAATACCAACTATGATATAAAAGCACTTAAAGAACAACACAAATTTAAAAATGGTAGAGCTGACTAGCATTACTACAATGTTTTGACATAACAGGATGCAACATGAATGTGTGTGGTCAAGCCTGCATGTGGAAGCCTGGTCCTGCAGTCCTCAAAAGCAAAGGCAAGGCCTGGTTAGTACTGTGATGGGAGACTTCTGAGATCACCGGGCTCCACAGTGGGGCAGCTGCGGCTGTAATGACCTTTGCTTGATGTTGAAACTATTTCTGTTAATTGGTTTCACAGTGATCATTGTTTCTTTTACTTTTTAGCTTGTTTCGTTTGATGTACTCTACTGCACTCAGGGGAACTTTTGCACATGTATCCTGATGTGATGTAACTTAGTTGGGTTTTATTTTTTTAACCTTGGGAAAGATTGTATCCCCCTAAAAAAAGGAGACAAGAAAATGGAATCCACATGAATCCCCATTGTGCACTTCACCGACACCGAGTCTGGGTGTCACTTCATCCCAGGGCAGCTGTGTCTACTCGAGTAGTTTACCACAACGAGTGAATGAATAATGCATGTATTTGAACATGAGAAGATGAAAACGTAGAACAAATACAAATCTCTTCGCATTTTATTTTGCTCTGCATGTCCAATTAAGAATGGACTCTCCCAGCACTGTAATAATCTGTTGTCACCTCTTCCTTCTCTTTTCTGCCCAGGTTTCCAACTGGTTTGGGAATAAAAGAATCAGATACAAGAAAAACATTGGTAAGTTCCAGGAGGAAGCCAACATGTACGCTGCGAGAACTGCCGTCAGTGCGGCTAACGCGTCCTCACACGGGAGCCAAGCAAATTCACCCTCCACTCCGAATTCTGCAGGTGAGACAGGAAGTCAAGCCCAGCTATGACCTCTGTGCAGTGTAGACCAAAGAGAGAGCACCTGACCACTGAGATTAGAGAGACACAAGAATAGGGGTCTCCACTTGTAACTAACCCTGCAGCATCAACACATGTATTCACCATCTTCCACTTCCTTCGGTTAGGGTTGGGCAAAATGGTCAGGTTTTTTTATTTAAATTTCTTGAAAAACACTATTTAAAAACATATTTCATTACGATCATACAAAAATGTTACTTTCAACTGAATATCAATGCAGTTAAACTATAGAATTAGTATGATTTAACACAGATGGATTCCTCACTTCAGAATCGTGTCCTGTCCCGTCCTATCCCTAGAATCCTAGAATATATTTCATGATAATTATAGGGAAGACATATTTTCTTTACCTGTTTTTTGATGGACAATGTATTGCTCAAGAGAAATGTAGATATAAATGATTAAATTGAACCTACTAACACCATTAGAGCGTTGTAGAAGAATCCAAGTCGGTTTGTGGTTTTGAGTAAAAGGCCAAAGGTTGAAAAAAGTAGGCTGCAGAATTATACAATTAGCATTAGCATTTAAAGTTATTTAGTCAAGCATCTACTGCTAAAATGTTATTGTATTACAAAGGAAAGCGCAATTATCAATTATTGAACATTAAGTATATATAGATATTATCAAACTTTATAATGAGAATAATTAATCTTTTTTATATCGCACTTTTCAAAAACAGTGTTTACAAAGCGCTTCACCATCAGCATAAACCATAAAAACAGCAAATAATAATCATAATATAATGATACAACATCAAAATAATTAACAGTAGATACAGGAGAATAAAGCAGACAGAGGGAATACAGGAGGAAAGACAAAGTGAAGACAAAGTGAAGCAGGACAGGACAGTAGTAAGAGCACACAAAATATATACAAATAAGTAGTAGCTATGTTTCTTAACTAACATAACTAGCTGTAGATTCTGAAAATTCTTCAATACCAGTCAAAAGATATATATATGTAGTAGTGCAGTTATATACTGTACAGTTAAATAGTGCAGGATAAAAAGTAGATAAGTAAAGTGACATTGTTCTGTGACATTCTGAAGTTGCAGTTTGCACATTGCACATGATTTAAGAATTTACTTAAGATCAACTTTACATGTCACATTTGGTATAGATAGAATGACTCAGATTATGCAAAAATATATGAAGTGAGCAAACATGTTAAAGTTAAAAAGTGTGTTTTAAGAAGGGATTTAAAAGAGGATACTGATGGTGCTATATACAATACTGTACTGTACTGTCCATGCCATTCAAACACATAAAGACTGATTCACTGATCTCCAAGAATGCAATCGTATCATTGCCGATGACATATTACTGAACGTCAAGTTGCCCAGCCCTAATTTTGAGTATTAGGTCACAAATAACTGAGCGACTAACCCCTTCTATACTAAACCAACAGTATTTGGTTCACTTGCATGTGCATTTGGATGCTAAAGATGCTAACGCTGACCTTCATGACCTGTGACGCTGCATTATCATTCAGCGCTCAAGGGTAACATCCTCGTAAAAGATCAAACCTTTTTTTCTGGAACGGGAAGCTCCCAAACTGTTGGGAAATGACAAAGTAGCTCAAATACATACTTCGAGAGGCTCATACTCACAGTGTACATGAACAAGCTGCCCTGAGCCTCACACCACGCCGTCGCTTTGCTCTTTCCCTACGATACTCTTTATTCTCTGCTCTTTCACTCAAAATGTTCTATTATGGCGTTTGTGGCGAGATGGATATTGAAAATGTTAAGTTCCCAAAGCAAACATAATATGGCCAATTTTGTATACAGTTATTCCAAATTGATCTAAGTAATGTCATGTATTTTCTTGGAGTATTGGGTTATTGCTATAGTCGAAGGCCTTTATTGTGTGTTGTGAATAAAAAAGCTGCTGTACACATCACATCATTGAAAAAACATCTCATTTATGTGACAATCTGCTTTTTTGATGTCTGTTTAACAGCTGGAGTTGTCATCATTAAATAAGAAGTATTTAGAACTGTTTAAGGCAATACAATTTAACAAAAATCTGACTCCATGAAAATTTTCAATACATCTCCTTCCAACCCATAACTAGGCCTGTCATGATAATCTTTGAATAGACGATGAATTGCTTCAGAAATGTATTGTGATAAATGATAATATTGAAATTAGGCCACTGCTAATGCTAGTCTTATTGAACCATATATATCTAAAATATTATAAATAGCTCTAATTTGTTGCTTTTTGGCAAAGAAAATGTATAAACAATATGATTTTAAACCAAAATATAGTGTTTCAACCCACAGGTATTAAACGATAAGTCAACCTATAACTATTGTGACAGGCCTAGCCATAACCCTTGTGTCATTTCACTCAAAGGTTTCCCTGTTTATACCCATCTCTAACAAACTCACCGGGTCTACATAATATCTGCTTGCCCAACGCTATTTTTTCACTTAACTGACTGGTCCTTCATGCTGGAGGCTGTATCTTGGCATTCCCCCTCTGGTTGTGGCCGTGTTTGGACCAGAGGCGGGTGTCTTAACTGCATGGTGCCTGCTGCCTGCCCTGTGCTTCAGCCTGTCGTCTCTCTGCCCTGTCTCCTGCAGGTTCTGGTGCCTCTTTTAACATGTCCAACTCGGGCGACTTGTTCATGACCGTGCAGTCTCTGAACGGGGACTCCTACCAGCCAGCACAGGTGGGGGCCAACGTGCAGTCACAGGTAGGGGGAGGGGCCAAACTAGCCACGCTATCGCACTGCAAAAAAAAAAAAAAACGCTCAAATTTGTTCAAATCAATATCTTTCTTGATTGGAGTGTTTATTAATGGAAATGAGCATCTTGAAATGTAGCTTCCCACTCATTTCCCATTTGATGCTGTTCCTTTGCATTAACTTAAATCGTTATGAAAGTGCTTAAAGGCACCTTATTTGTAATTTTTGCAGTGCTAATACAAACAACATAATGAAACTAGACAAAAACTACAGACTTATGTAAAAAATGTTGAATCAGGCCTAATTAAAGATTTAGATTAGATGAAGAGATTCTTTATTCGTCCCACAGCGGGGAAATTTCAGAATAGGAAACCAATTGATATTGACAAAAACATACTTATTGGAAATATGAGTACATTTATCCAGAATGTTATTGGGTCACCGCGTGGTAGGGCTTTAATTCAGTCTAATGGAGATTTGAAGATGTTAGTTGATACAATGTAGCAGTGTTCTGACTAATATTCTAATTTCAGCGCGATAGTGTGATTATATGGATGATGACCAAGCTGCTCATTGAGTTATTACACTGCTCTTCTATAAAGAATTATTCTATTGTGTCAAACAGTAAAGTTTGATTCCAAGCTCTGTAGTAGACATTTCGGCTCCCATTATTGGATTATAAAGTTGATTGTCCAAATAATTTCTTAATAAACATGTTATAATAGTCTTCCACAGCAGTTGTTGGACTTAGTGTAGGCCTACATAATATATACATACACATTGCCCAGTGATTACAGCTGAGGGGTAGATTTAAGTCTCAAAAGAATATGTACTTACACAATTCAAATAAAGAAATACAATGTTAAAGCTGGGGTCCTAAACCTTTCATCATAATTAATCCAAGCTGTTTGTGCCGACAGTCATCCATTTTATATTAGAAAACATTGTTATATTTTCCATACAGTATATTGGGTTGAGAGCTGATGGTATGGGTGATCCTCTATTTTTCACTTTTTAAGATTATCTAAAGATGTGACACTGGCCAAAATTAAATGCTTGTGAAAACCAGTGATAGAAGCAAACTGTTTTGAAAGCGAGAATACACATTAATTCTGGTTTGAATGTAAGGTACCCCAGCTTTAAGTTTGTCAAATGTACTATTGAACAATATCATTAACACTCTCTCCGAATAGGTAACGTCAATAAAAGCCATGACCCACAAAAAAAAGGCACTTATAACGAAGCGTCGACTCTATACAAATTGTAAAGAAACCAAATGGCAGCTACAGTACACCACCTAATCAAACATGAATAAAAATAAGTTTATTGTCTTGAAACCCCAGGTCTCGAAGTGCCAGTGTAAAGCTTTGTGTGTGTGTGTGTGTGTGTGTGTGACCTTGCTTTGTTTGTCTCCAGGTGGATACCCTTCGCCATGTTATCAGTCAGACAGGCGGATACAGTGAAGCGCTCTCAGCCTCCCAGATGTACAGTCCGCAGGCCATCAACGTAAGCCGCCCTCTTTCTTCTTCTCCTCTGCCAATTATTTCTGCACCAGGGGGACTTGTCTTCTCCGTGGTCCCCTCTGCTCCGGCGCTCAGGGGCAGGACACACGCGGCGGGATGGCTGTCGCGTCCCGTTAGCTCAGGGCTAGCTCCTCACACCTAGCGAGCGCACCTGGAATTAGCGTTAGCACGGCGGCACGCGAGGCTAACGCGGCTGTCAAGGGGACGTAGACGGTGACAGAGGTGTGAAGTGCAGGGAAAAGCTCGCAAACGCAATGCTATTTATTTTATTTAGCATTAGTGTTCTGTGTACTTAAAGTAACGCTTAGAAATAAAAAGAAAAATAAGTCAAATTCCACTTTTTTGGAACATAGCATAGTTGCTTAATGGCTGCAATATTGTCAAAATGTATAAGAGATAGATTATTGCTGCTGGGTAGAAAGTAGAAAGTTAGAACATGCGTGATTGTTTAGAACAAACCTTTCATAATTGTTATGACTATATTTCATGTTTTGCTACATTAAAGCTAGCGACCAAACTTTCAAACCCCAAAACAATGACACTAATGAAATTTAACTTTATCAATAGTTTTCACGTGCTTGCATTGTTGGTCTTCTCATGTTTAGATCAACTTTTTCGGACAGAAAAGTGGAAAAGAGAGGACCAAGCTCTATCAGTTTTTCTTAAGAAGGCGAAAGCTCACATGTTTTCTAACATAGATATCATGTTGAGGTCTTATTTGATCAAAATAAAAACTTTAAAATACTCTTTCAATAAATCAGCTTTTATTATAAACTGGCCTTTACCATGGGACAATGTTTACCAAACTGCTGTGCATGGACCACTGGTGGTTTTAATGTTTCTTTGCAGATTCCTTTGCAGTTCAATGATATAAATACATTTCACGCACATTGTTGTTCTGAGTGGCAAATAGCCCTTTCCTGCTATAGAACTACTGTCACTCTCACTGGAAGCCTAAGCAACAACAAGGGAGAGTGCCACAAACAACATTTTCCTAATTAAAAACACAAAGCTTTTTGCCACCCATAACAAACATGAGGTTGATATATTTAATGCTATAATTTAATACATAATGCTCTATTTAGTCTTTTTATTCCACTTTTTTGTCCTTCCTTGCTTATCATTTTGAACTACCACAAAAGAAATACTTGTGTAGGACCACTAATTTAGTATTTATTTATCATAAATGTATTGCCAATAAAAGCTAATAAACAATGGATTCGATGTGAATTTGCATAATTTCATTATTACACTTCGAACGCAATTTTATTACCCAACCCAAAGTATCATTACATCATTTACTAAAGTCGGGTTTGATCAAGTCGTTGAACATATTCCGGATACAAAAACAGAATTGACCTCTGCATCGCTTTCGCCTCATAGCAAAACAGCTCGTCACTGGCAGGGGGCGGGGGGCTGGCTGGCGGCTGTAAACGGACGGGGAAATCCGCAGCGACAAGCCGAATCGCACGAGGGAAAATCGATGGGACAGACACAGGGACGGAGAGCGCGGGCTCGGGACAGCAATCCAAATGCATTCGCCTGATCTGGCCGTGGCCGCGGTAATGGCACTGACAGCACATGCGAGGTCCCGCCCCACTGCCCCTATGATAATCCCATGAAACGTTGGAGTGAAGAAAAGCTGTGTATTCAAATGGGAGCTCCCCCGAGGTCGCAAACGTATTCTTCGGCCTGTTCTCCTTGGACGCCTGCCCGCTCTAGCACGTCTCATCCAGTCACACTAGCACGTTTTATTCAGGTTTTAGGGCAGAGAAAAGCTTCGGGATGCATATTTATGTGATATTATTAATGCCACAGTTGGATTCTGAAATTGAATGTTTTGTCTCATAAATATTTTCATTACAACTTCAGGGGACATAAAGTATTGTAAGAATATCAACTTTTTTACCTTTTCTTTTTGATTTTGTGTAGTCACTCTTAATGTGTTTTTAATGTGTACAATGAGAAACTAGAGCAGACACACACACTACATAACTACATAACCCCCAGGAAACTGGCAACCCAAATGAGAGACTAATTTTGTTTTCTGATTGGATCATCTACTTAAGAAACTATAGCATAAAGAATGTTGTCCATCACGGCCACCGTTACTATCGTTAAATAAAGCTGGGTGCTAGTCCGGTAACTTCAGTAAGTGGACATGCACCAAAAACTGACACATTTTATTGCTTTTGTCAAGGCAGGTTATACAGCTGAGAACACCCCAAGACATCTTAAATTAACTTTGAAAATGGCGTGTGCAGTAGCATGATAGTTCGTCTATTTTGCATCTTTACCCTGTCGATGTTATACCACCACCACCAAGGAAACTATTTTGTCTTCAAACTGTAGAAAAAATATGGTGGATCACAATGGAACTGCCGGGGCCCCATCTGAATGAACGATGTAGGCCTGTCCTCCTCGAGGTTAAGATCTCTGTCAGCAGCAGAGGTCAGTGTAGCACCAAGGGACTCATCTCCAGATGTTGATGTAGTTAGGACTCTCAGAGCTGAAAGATTTTATATATGGCATATGTTTTTAGTGGTAGGGGGTGTCGGAAATGAGACAAGATGCGGATTGGTCTGGGATCGTTTCCAGTAGAAGACATTTTATTGATGTTACAAAAGACGACTCGGACAAAGATTTGCTGTGTGTGTGTCATATTATAAGGAATCATTGACCGTCCAATCAGCAGCTGCTACGGGGCCAGTATATTCGGCCTTCAGATAACCAAAACATCAAGTGGAAATTCACTGGCTTTTGCATACCTAATGATGACCACAGTCGCTTAAAAAGTGTTAGAGATCCATAGGAAAACTGGAACACCTGAAGGAAACCTATGACACTGGGAGAACAAGCAAACTTCACTCAGAATGATCATGTTCTCACTGGGATTTTAACCTTGGACTTTCTTACTAAGAAGCTGATTATACTGATAAATGTAGTCAATAATACATTTGTAGATAAGTCTGTGAATCAAGAGAAAGATCTACCACCAGTGGCACAGGCACCACTGCTTGGGAAACAGTGCTGTAAAGTATTCTAGCGATGCACCAGCCGGTTCTCCTTGGACGCTCTCCCGCTCGAGCACGTCCTGCGCTGCCACAATATTCAGGTTTAAAGCTGTAAAGAAGCTCCACGATGCATAATGTAGCAGCCGGATCTCTGTCTGCAGCCTGTTCACTGTCACTGACATTCAGGACTTTACATATTTTCAGATTCTGTGTGTTTGGGAATAATTCAGGCACTTCTTTTGTTTTGCTCAAAGACGCCTCAGTGTTCTACTGCGGTTTAAATGGACTCAACACAAGTCTATCCATGTGCGGCAAAAAGAACTGCATATCTATTTTAGTAGTACCAGCTTTTGTCTATTTTTGTATGGCCTCCAGATAGTAATTTAAGAAACGCTTTCAAAGACATCGGTTTTATATAGAGCTTTTTTGGACACTAAAAAAATCCAGTCTACGTACTGTACACTGGATTTTTGAGTGTCCATGGAGATGAGTCTTCTGCTGCTGGACACCTGAATTTCACCTACGGGGGATCAATACAGTATCTATCTATCTATGTACTGTAGCCACAGCTGCCCTGGAGCACAGTGACTGAAAAAAAAACAGAATGTGCCACCGCCCCCTCCGACCCACACCAACCATTCATGCACACACCACAGTCATACTGGGAAATGTAGGTGACGTGTCTTGCCTAAGGACACAACAACTGTTTGGTATCTTTCCCAGAGGTCTCCCATTACAATAACACACCAGACCCAGCCCTGCTTAGCTGCAGAGGTCTGACGGAAGTCAAAACTCACAAATTCAATGACATTTGTATCATGGATATTGTATACATTTGAATTCTCTCTCTGGTACCTCTCTGGTCTCTCTCTCGGGTTCCTCACTGATCTCTATCTCTGGTCTATCTCTGGTACCTTTCTGGTCTCTCTCTTGTCCCTCTCTGGTCTCTCTCTAGTCTCTCTCTCTCTCGTGTAAACATGAATTCAATAAATCCTGTAATCAAAGCTCACATTTATTAGCTAAAAATTAAAATAGTCAGTCTTAAACCTACAGTTGTGTATATACCTAACCAACTGCTACAATACAACATGAATTCTTGAGCTCTGTGCGATGCTTCCTTTCATAATCTGAATTTGTCATTTTCCACTGATTACTGAATCTTGAAATCCTTCTTTCTGCTCCAATTCAAACTCCACAGTATTCTTTAATATGAGATATACAAACCCTCATTTGCACAGCTCTTCACCCCAATAACAAGGCTCACTTAGAGCTTAGGGCCGTGGGCTCCGTATCCCAGCATTCCCAGCTGCGATCGCTCTTTCTGTTCCCTCAGGACATTGAAAGACGCCACATTGAGTATTTGACCCACTGTGCTTTCACAAAGTAATATTGGCCTGATTTTAGTTGACTGTATTTATCTACACATGGTTATGTCAAACAGCCAAAAGTAAATACATTGAAATACTAATGCAAACTGGAGTATTTCCCCTGCTCTACTTGAATTAAAACAATGAGTTGTGTAGAATCACAGCAGCATGATATGGGGAAAATATTGTTACTAACAATTCCACTTCATTGAATGAACATAAAAAATAATATGCAGTGATTCTAAAACTGCCAAGATACAAGATTCATACACATTTGAGAACAAGCTTGTCATATGCTCTTATGAACTAAAAGGATAGAGGAGGGTTTTATTATCAGGGGACTACACTCAGAAACATATCATGACGTACACAGAAGGGATTGGAAGAGATTATGAAAGTGGAAGTGGTGGTAGCGTAAGATGAAGTGATGAGTCGGTGACATGAAGAGTGACGTCCCAGGGTTGCGGTGGTGATGGCTCGGAGCTGGGTTGCTGCACGAGCTGAAAGCTTAGTGCAGCAGGTGAAGCAGCTTCTGATTAGCAGAGGCACAGGTACGATTGGGATAGGCCTGTAGTAGTGAGAGGATTGAAGTGAAGAGGTGGAGTCGTGATGACAGAGATTGTATTCCAGTCTGAACTTTTACTCATATAGCTCTTCTGATTGTCTTATGAACTAAAAGGATAGAGGAGGGTTTTATTATCAGGGGACTACACTCAGAAACATATCATGACGTACACAGAAGGGATTGGAAGAGATTATGAAAGTGGAAGTGGTGGTAGCGTAAGATGAAGTGATGAGTCGGTGACATGAAGAGTGACGTCCCAGGGTTGCGGTGGTGATGGCTCGGAGCTGGGTTGCTGCACGAGCTGAAAGCTTAGTGCAGCAGGTGAAGCAGCTTCTGATTAGCAGAGGCACAGGTACGATTGGGATAGGCCTGTAGTAGTGAGAGGATTGAAGTGAAGAGGTGGAGTCGTGATGACAGAGATTGTATTCCAGTCTGAACTTTTACTCATATAGCTCTATAAGGAGGATGGTCTGCTTGGCATTTTCGATGTCATCTGGGACTAGAAGATAAGATAAGAGATCCTTTGTTCGTCCCACAGTGGAGAAATGTCAGTGTTGCAGCGCACATACAGGACAGTAGTAACAGCACACAGGGAGCACACAAAATATACAATATAAGTAGCTGCTTTGATTCTTAGCTAGCTGTAAATGCTTCAATATTAATCTTTCGATACAAATCTCTATCTATATATAGTACAAAGAATATCAGTATCAGTGAGTGGTTTTTGGTTGTTCTTCTGTACGTCCTTATAAAAACCCACATCACATGTCATTTCTCTTATGTTTTCAGGCAAACGGCGGCTGGCAGGACGCGCCCACCCCCTCCTCCGTCACTTCGCCCACAGAAGGTCCCGGCAGCGTTCACTCGGACACCTCCAACTGATGCTAATCCAATCGCCCAATCCCAAAACCCCTCTGCCCTAAACGGATCCTTCAGGACTGGACTCTCTGTAGCTGTCCCGGATCTCCTCCCACAAACCGGGACCAGCCACGCAGCCTGAAATCCAGACTCTGTACAGTTTCACGCCCCTAAAATCTTTTTCATTGTTTTGTCTTTTCTGGTGTCATGAGGTCACACAGTTAGCGGCGTTCGGTGTTATAAATGGAACCGCTGCGCTACCTCGGTTACACTTTTCTAATAATTGGGAATGGGCTCCGCTGGTGTAGGTACCATTGTATTCTTTGCCGTTTGATCGACCGACTTTAATTTTGTCTGATGATTAACATTGACCACTGGCAATTCAAAAACATTGCTTGCAACTAGATACACATTAAAAGTATTGTTTGAAACTAATATTTTGAATTCACAACATGCACATGCAATAATCAACATCTCAGGTGAATTACACACACAACAATAGAAGAACTGTACACGCATTTATTGCAATCTTAAAACTACACTGAGTTTTATTTTTTATATCATTTTTGACCATAATTTGATGTTTACTATAATGTGCTGAATTAGTGTCAAAAATGTTTTCGATAGTTATGTATTAATCACTAAATAAGGCTTTTCAAATTAGCATTACCATTCTTAAATCTGGCTAATACTGTATGTTTATGGTTTATGTGTAAATGGTACCTACTCCAGAGAGCACCTCCAAGCTTCATCAACCTACTTCTGATCTTTAGTGCCAAAGTTTAAATGCGACATTGTGTACACGATTACATATTTTTATGTTTCAAAACTCTGATTCTGTGCTGAAAAGGTTAAATACTTCTATTGAGTTTTTAATCTTTGTCATTTGAGTATGTTATATGTCGTCATCTTGAGTGGGTTCTGCTCATTCATTCATTCATTCATTCATTCCTTCATTCCTATATGAATATGAAAAGCACAATAGGACAAATGACGGCTCGCTCATACATCCTTGTAAAAGTGGCATTCACCCATTTCACCACATTCTCTTTCAATTAGGAATTCTAAGTGTAATGAGGAGGTTTTATCTTAAGGTATTTCAATATGACCAAAACTTGCTGGTTCAACCAAACCTGGGATGAAGAGAGATTTTGGTGGCACAAGCTGTGTTTCGTGTGTGTTCTGTTTTCGCATGTTTAATCGTTTTCAAAGCTGACGTTAACAATATTTTTGTCTGTAACACGGCCACATTCTTAGCATTTGCCAGAGGATGCCAGATTGACTCAGTTATATTCACATTGAGGATCTTATTAGTTTTCAAAAGTTGATATTGACAAAATGAAATTTTTGTTTTAGTATATTCTTTGACAATATTTGTTTTTCTAATTATTTACATTTAGTCCTTACAAAATACACTATTGTTTGTTTTTTTAAATGTATTTAGCCATTCCCAAATTTTATTGGATGTTGCGTCTACACCGTCCTGTATAAGAATGGACAATGCTAATCCACGAGCTCAATGAAGTGCTCAAATTGTCAAAGTTTTGCTCCAACTCGATTACCAAATCTCAACATTCTGGATTCAGGGTCTAAAAAAATACTGTTTAATGCTGTACATGATCCTGGTGTTTTTATTTTGATAATGTATTTCTGATGACCCCTACAACTGACCAATCAGGTGCCTTCTATTCCCAAATTTGGCACATTCAGGAATAGACCTGAGTGCCTCTTTGGTTCTTATAAGGACATATTGAGCCTGTTTAGCTCTAATCATCTTCTTTTGGGATAAAGCTACGGGTGAGCACTACATCCTTCATACCCAGCGACTTTTACTTTTAACTTGTAACAGCACTTATTCTATTGAAGTTACATTATTGTGTTATTTCTAGTTGAGTACAGTTGTTGGCTGCCCACCTCTGGCCTTCATCACGTCACCTGTAATGAAGGCTCTAAACCTTGTGTCCCCCATAAGAAGCTGAATATTGCTCATAGAATGGTCTAAGAAACAGCAAAAATGTTCTTGCTCAAAACCCCAAAAAATTGACTACATGGAAGCTAAAACATTCCTGGAAATTGACCTTCATGATCTACAGTTAAACAACAAAAAACTTTATACTGATTCATTCAAAATCAAAATAGTTTTAATTTTTTAATTTCTAATGCATTTTATTTTTATTTCAAGTCAACTTATATATATTTTTTGCAAACACTTAACGACAGAATCATATCGAGAGTATTCCATTTTTAAACAAATGAGAAACTTCAGCATAACCTCCTTTCCAAATCACACTTTTAATTCCGTGTTCTTTCATTCATTCATTCATAATAACGTTGCCATCCAGGTCTGTGTGTACAGAAGGTAGTGAGTGGTCTCTCATAGAAATCGACAGTGTTACAATAGTTCTCATGCGCATTTACCCACTATGAAACCAAAAAGGCAGAAATACTAACTTTGGGATCAGCTTTACAGTTGTCTTTTCATAGGATTTTATCATGTACTGTATGTGGCGTTAACAGAACCAAAAGTTAGATCCATCACTTGTTTATATACTTCCCCTCCACGGCACACAGGTCAAGATGATGTTTTAAGATATTTTATGGCACCGTCAATCAATAACTTGTTTTTGTATAATATGATTTGCTTTGCTACAAGTTAGATTTTTATACTGCCATCTAAATGTGGACTAGCCCAAGAATGCTCTTCATTCACAGTATGTAGCTACACGCATTTTGGTTCTTTGTGTTTTGTATTTTTGGGAGCGGCAGGTGACGACTCTTGTAAAAGAATGACCCATTTGTATTTCTACAAAGGATTAATTTAATGATAGCTTCATCGAGGTTTTGTTTGGAAATTCTACTGGGGTGAACCTAGCTCAGGACGGAGACAATTAGCAGGAATACATGCTTGAAACGAGTCCAAAAACTTGTCTTTTTGTATTTGCCAAGTGGAGGTTCTTTCAAAGGTCTGTAAAGTGGGGAAATGTAATTACAATTAGTTCTGAAGAGTCAAAACACAAGATCCAATGATATATTACATTTCAAAATAACCTTCACTTGGTAAATATTTGGATTAAATTTGACTACATTTAAGTTTTATTGTTAAGAACCAGTTCAGAAGAGGTTTTTTAATATAAGATCAAGAAGGTAAAGTTACTATAACAGTAGTCACGGCTTTCTTTTTGAAACAAGAAACAATTAGATACAATTGAATTTATTTTTTTGTAAAAACAACTATAATTTGTATCCCTCGTTCTTATTGACTTTGCTGTAATGTTTTATTGAGTTTCTCTGAATCTGTAAAATCTTTCAAATGTGTCCTTTTTGCACCAGACCAGAGTTTACAGAGCCGCTGTCACACAGGACTGACGCTTCATGTAATGAGGCTTTGAGTGTTAGAAAATGAAAAGGAGATGAAAAGAAGAATTTGTAAAACATGAAATGTTTTCTTTGTTGCATGTCTTCTGTTCTTTAATAAAATGACGTACTGCAGTGTTTTGAATGTGAACTTGTTTTTATGAGAATCATGGAGCATTTTTCTTGACAAACTTTGACTTATCGGACTCAGTACTTTTCTGTAAAAAGGTGTTACAATAAAACATATTGTATTTTTAACTCAAACATAAACTCTCTTTTTTCTGTGAAGAGTAGAGAAAAGCTGTAGGTTTTACGGTCTCTTAATTTGTACTGACAATGCATAAACTCCAATAAATAGTTAATTTGTTGCTTAAATACATGTTTTTTGTAATGTTTTTGTGCACTGGGACAAGAAACAGTAAAACACTGTTGATATTGACAGGTTCATCAACATCAACCATCGCTCTACATTCATATGGAGAACAGAAAAAGATTAAGATTAAGAGATCCTTTTATTGGTCCCACAGTGGGGAAATTTCAGTGTTGCAGAACAGTAGCAATGAGGCGCACACAGCACGAGATCGATACCTATACGAGAACAATAACTATACTCATTTAAATAAAATAAAATGTCTAACTAGGATTTCTTATGTGGTCGAGGACTAGAAGCTGCACACGTTTGACCGTACGAGTGAGTGCATGTTTTGGGTCATTCACTCAATTTTAAAGGGAACATAATGAAAGGTATGGAGTTAAAGAATTGTTATATTACCAAAAGTTTCATTCATATTAATCACAGGGCACGAATAATATATCATAGTAATACATAATTTATTTCAAAGAAGGCGACAGTAGCTAAGCTGGTAGAGCATGGGTCTTTGGGCTGAAAGGTCGTAGGTTCGAGTCCACCTCGGGACCTACTCCAACTGCTCCCACTAATGTCTGCTGTCGTTGTGTCCCTGGGCAAGACACTTAACCCCACATTCACATCCTGCTGAAACACCAAGGCTATGTCACCACTAATGTACAGTAGCAGCCATCTTCCTGTGGACTCACCACCTGCAGCGGAACAGTGAGGGACGGGTGCTATTAGCAATGGGTGGAAGCCCCCCCCCCCCCCCCCCCCCCCCCCCGACCCAGAAATGGACTAATAAAGGGGTAGAAAATGACTGAATGAATGAAATATTTCAAACCTGTACAGTACATACGTATATCAATATAACAGACCAATATCTTGTACCTGGCTCGAGGCTTCAATGCTGAGATGAATTACATACATAATTATTGTCTCAAGGCCCATGGGGAAACTTGTCCACTGCATTTGAACCATGCTACAATGGCTCTGGACCAATGTTTTTGTGCTTCGTTTGGGGTTGATGAGCACTCTGGGTTTTCTCTGAAATCAAATCGTCAAAGAACTTGGGTTGCCTCTTCTTTACACACTGAGCATCACAGATTAGCGTGTTGAAATGACTCTTTAGGTAGTGTTTTTGTTCAAAGCAATGCAAAAAGAGATGATAAATAAGTCAAAAAAAATCAAATTTGCCAAATGTGTCTTAATTTGAGCACATTATGACTGCCATAAAACAAGATTTGCAAAATCGACAAGCAAAATTATCTTGTTTTTAAAAAATACAAGAAATGTCTCCATTGAAATAAGAAAATTACAG